GGAGTAGAGAGGCAGATGCACGACGGGGTTTAGGGCAGTTCAAATGTGAATCACCCGATGGACGTGCACCATATATAGGTGGACACGAGAAAGGCCAACCATCCAACTATAAGCATCAAATGTTGATCCATTTTGAAATGGATTGAATACAAACAAAGATGAAATTCATGCTAAATGAATAATTTTTTATATATTTAGAACCAAACTAACAAAGTTTAACAAGTTCAAACTAATTTTAATTTAAACTAAATTAGACGAGGTACGAGAGGTGACCTCGTAAACAAGGCCTTCTTGGGCACAGGCATCTTCTTCACCATCTATGTCGTCGCACGAGCCACCATCTGTGATGTCGTTTGAGCCATCGTCCTTGTCGCCGCGCCAGTAGCGGAAAGCAAGGCATCGCCGCATCCTTGTGTGTCCGCCACAGCATGCTTGAGACCCTCTGTCGCACCCTCCACCGCCTTGCACCGCTTGTCTTCGACGACATCGATGGCTCGGATAAAGGTTTCGTGCTCAAACTCCGCCGTCCCACTTCAACGTCCATAACAAGGTCGACGTCAGCTCAAGACCAACTCGACGGTGGTCTTGGACCGATCAACGGCCAAGTCACCGCAAACACCCAGGCCGAGGTGTCCTGCCTGTTCGTGAGTGCTACCCAGGCCGAGCACCCACGTCGGCTATGCTCTTGGATGATGAGGCGCCAACGCTGACACCTTTGAGGTAGTAGTGGAGGTGCGACTGGCGACAAGGTGGGAGTGCGTGCTCCTCTTTCTTGACGGTGGCGAGGACCGGGCGACACTAGTTGTCCGGCTAGTGAAGCGGGGGTGACGGTGCCCCGTCCTGGTTGCACAGCAATGACAATGGCTCCTCCTTCACGCGATGTCTGATCTAGACGTCACATTTGCGAAGAGGAGATGGCTGACCACACTCGATCAGCGACTGCTGCAGCACCACCTTCATGTGTCACATGAACTCATCGTCCGTCGTGGGCGCGGAGGCGAGGATGGGTGGCTCCTGCTCCTCGTCCGGGGAGATCGGCTATGGCTTGACATCCTTCGAAGCCGTGAAGGACGAGGGACCCAAAGAGCATGAGCGGTGGCGCGAACTCGATCCGGAGCTCCTCCCGGATCCAGAGCCATGTGCTGGCCACCACTAATCGGCATCGGACTTCTTGCCCATAACAACGTAGATGTTTTCTGTGTGCCGCAGCGTTGGAAGAGTGTAGGGTTTGCGTCTGAGCTCAGTCGATTTAATAGCTAATGCAGCCTGGCGAAGCTTTAATGCGGTGGAGTAGGCATCTCGGTCGTTGAGCTGGTGTGAATGATAGGTAGGCACATGGTTGGTCAACCGACATGAATGCGAGTAGGCTGCCATCCGGCCACGTCCGCTCTAACTTGTATGAACGCGATGTCCGCTCTAACTGGTATGGACGCGATGCGCAGGGTTCTGGAGCGAGCGGACGTGTCCGGAGAGGGGCTTTGGGTGGACCCGAGGGCATCAGAGTCCGATGTGGCGGACGTCCGGGCTCCCCAAATCTTCCCCCGGTCCGGACAATTCAGGTGACCACAGTTGCATGGCTAAAAGTATTCGAAGTGTCCATTTTGCAAAGATTGCACGATTTCAAACGCCCCGACCGGTCCATTTCTCTTCAGATTTCAATGGATGCAACTTTAAACGCCGGGTACTTATTTAGACACTCAAAACTTATTTGGACACTAACAAACTGTGAGATAAAAGAACTCCATTTCTCTTCATATACAAGTTTATAAGGATACATGAGAATTTCTATTTCAGCAACATAACTTGGCAATACGATGGTTCCACATGAAAAGTCACCAAAATGGAGACAAAAATTACAGTTACAGCCACCAGCCTTAGGAGGACGTGTAAAAAATCTTGCAGGTAAGCAGCACAAGTATGGCTAGTGTTGTGGCAAAGCTTACGGCCAAACCACCCCAAAGAATCCTGTCAATGTTTAGTGCTCCCCTGGTAATCACATTTACCTGCTGATCGTCCCCTCTAGATTTTTCTGTATCACTTTCACTTGTTTTCCCTGCCCCCTCGACATTTCTTCTCACAAGCGTAGATTGAGGTGTTTCCTGACGAGTAGCGTCACCACAATTTGTCGGTGCATCAGATGGCCCTTCACATTGCTGTGGAGTACATTGTTGTGCTGCGCTTTCTGCACCCGAGCATGCACAGGAATCGCAGGTGTTTGTAGAACAAGCGGCTTCCTCAACACGATTTGGGCTGTTTTTTACCTGCACTTCAGCAGAATTTTGTTCAAGTGCTGCTTCCTTTATTGCAACGGTTCCTTCTATCACTTCACCAAATACAGACCATCTTCCGACAGACGTGATCTTCGCATCAGCTGATGTTCCTAGCATACTATCTGGAGCAATGACAAGGACCTGGATATACCCTTTGGTATGTCCAACCTGTGCAACAGAAGTTCATACAAGCAAATGCTTGTCTAGTCATAAATTTAGCATCTGGCATGAGCAATATTGATTATAGACAATTGGTGCTTCAATCACACTTACCAAATGAACACCATCGGTAGCTATTTCAGTAATCCATATCCTCTCCACTTTGCCTTTCAGTCCTTCGTATGGTGAAAAAGCTTCGAAAACTGAGGTCAATTCACGGCTTCGTTTTTTCACTTCAATGCTAGGCACTTTCTTCATCCTAGCAGCAGGTGTTCCTACAGAAAAAACATTGCAGCTGAGTTGAGGAAAAAAATACTGATAATTAGTTAATAACATGGCATTTGGCAGAACACGATACCTGGCCTGGGATAAAACTGTGATATGTGAACTTGAGGTAACTGATACTCTTTTATAAGGTTAACCGTTTCAACAAAATCTTCATCAGTTTCGCCTGAAACCGAATAATATAGTTCAGAACAAACTATTGACAATGTAAGATATCTATAACTAATAAGAAAACGAGACTGAATAGCTGAACCCATAACTTGCTACCGTACCAGGAAAGCCACAAATAATATCCGTGGCAATTTGCATGCCCGGGACAAGCTCACAGAGAGTACCAACTACCATTCTGAACTCACTGACAGTGTATTCACGATTCATTGCCTGAGATGGGCAAACACAGAAATAGTCAAAAATTATGAACTTGTCTCTATAGGTTACTACTACTTCCTCCGTTCACATATATAAGATGTTTTGGCTATTTCAATATAGAATACATACGGACTAAAATGAGTGAATAAACACACTAAAACGTGTGTACATCCTATTCAGAAAAAAGTTGGAACATCTTATATTTGTCAAGGAGTACTACTGAAAAATAAAGTCAAGAGTTCCAAGCATACCTTTAAAACAGCATCACTGCCTGATTGCACAGGAACATGAAGGGAAGTATAAACACAAGGATGGCGCAAAACACTAGCTATCTCATTCAAATGCTCCAGTATAAAAGGAGGATTTGTCATCCCTATGCGAAGCATTGTGCTTCTGTCTGCAGGAAGCTCAGCAACAATTGCATTTAAGAGATTCGGAAGATTTGTACCGATATCCCTACCTAAAAAATACAAGATCAGAGAGGCAAAGTAGAATGAAAGTATATGATATGTAACACTGAGTAAATCTATAACAATTTGGACACTGAAATTACCATAAGCACCAGTATCTTCACTGCTCAACCATATCTCGCGAACACCTTCTGAGACAACAATTTTCACACGATCTACCTAAGGTGAATAGGAAACAAATAATTTGCTTCAAAAAAATTAGGAGAAGCAATATTTTCGTGCACTGATAGAAATATGTCAGTACACTAACCAAGCTGTCTATAGAATAGCTTCCAAGATGACCACGAGCATGCTTGGTCTTGCAGTAAGTGCAAGCGCCTAGACACCCAACATTTATTGGAAGAATCTCAATAAATTTATTCTTTCGAACCTGTAAAGTGTAGCTGTTATCAGTCATTAGGTTTAACATAAAAATTTATCAATGTGTGGGATACAACTGATGCACATGATGAATAGATTTTACCTTGGGTAAATCAAGTGAGGGCAGTGTTTTCCGACTCAACAACCGAACCTCATGCCCTTTTAAAGTTTCCTCAACTACTTCAACAACCCGATCTATCTGCTGCACTCCTATTATACTAATACCTTCAAGCTCCTTCAGATCCCGGCTTCCTTGTGGCACACAGCCAGCTACAACCAGTGGCTTGTTTGCCGTCTTGCATTTTGATATGAGAGTTGACATGGCAGATTGACTTGGATTTTTCACAGTGCATCTGGAATGGCAAAAGTACATGTCAAAAATTATCCGTATACCTCAGCTACACATTTCGCCACTAGGCACCACAGGGCAGACACAATAGCATGGAATTACAATATCAAAATCAAATAGAAATGTATTTGATACCAAGAAGGCAAGAATACACAGTTCATGGATAGTACAAGAAAACCAAAGCAGAACCAGCTTAGTTGCCAGCCAAGTTAAAGCAGTTGATCAAGCATACTGAAATACAGAAATAAGCAAACAAGAAACTATAAGCATACGTGTTAATTAGCCACAAATCAGCTCCTTCGGGCTCTTCAGTAATTGCATATCCAAACGCGGAGAGCTGCCCCGACATGTATTCACTGTCACTCTGCAGAGAAGGGAAAAGCAGAGGTTATACATTAGCATTAGCAAAGCCATTAGCTGCCTAGCATTTAGCAGCAGTCACACGCCACTAAATCCACAGACCAGGTACTACTAAGCACTACTTAAGCCGTATCAGCTGTTCAACCAATTACTGTCAGACAGCTCTCCTGAAGAATTGTTACTTAAACCGTGGAAATTACAGCATGCTAAGTAGTCATACAGCAGTTGATATGAGCTAAGTGGTTGGGAAGCTTCCGTAAAAAATATAATAATCAGCACAAGTGATAGCAGAGATTAATGCGGAGGAAGCTTGCCTGGTTATGTGAGCACCCGAATGTCTTGACGTATATCGTCTGCAACACAAATACCACCAGTATCAGGAAGCAAATCAGATCAAGCATGAAACGATGGCAACACGTCAACACGCATGTCGTAAGAGGATCGGCCGAAGGCGGTGGCGGCATACCTGCGTGCCTGGGATCCGGGCATCGGGCTGGGCCTGCGTCTGCAGGAGCTTGGACGACCTGCGCTTGGGCTTGACGGCGACAGTGGAGAGGGGTAGGCGGAGCCCGGGAGGAGCTCCGCCGCCGGAAAACCCGGCCGGTCCCAGCACGTCCTCGATGTCCTCCATCCCCGGCGGCGGAGTAGCGTCCAGTCGATGCGGGAGGTGGCTGAGTAGGGTTCTGCGGGGACAGTGCGCGGAGGCGAACCGAACGACTGGGAGCGAGTGGGCCTTTGGAACGGGCTGCTACATGGGCATTTTAGTTTTAGCTTAACCAAAACAGGGAACTCTCGACTTCGCGCAGACCCCTGGCGGACCGGCCCAGCTATCTCAACAGACGCGACTCACATCGCGCGCGACTTTCTTGCAGGATTTTAGAAAAAAAAACAGAAAAATGGTCCGGCCCAGCGCGGAGGAGTGGGTGTGCGCCCATTTGCTGGTATCGAAGGAATGGGAAAGCAACTAGTTAACGAGCGCTTCTTCGAGAGTCTCGCAAGGATCATTGTCACTTAGCGCGTTTTTAACCATTCGCCACGTGTCGCGCTCTGGGCACTCTCTCCGAATTTTTTATTTTATTTTTCCGCACGCGTTTTCAGCTTTTTAAACGATTATTTTAGGGTTTTTGACGTTTTGGTTTTTCGCCGGTCTTCCTTAGCTTTTCAATCAAAAACAATATTTCGAAAAAATACTTTGCGTGAAAATATGCATTTTTTTCCTTTCATGAAAGTCACGGTTTTGCTTCCACGAGAGGCACGGTTTTGCTTTCGTGAAAATCACGGCCGTGCCTCTCGAAAACGAAAAAACATGTTTTTTATTTTTTTTTCGTGAGAGTCACGGTTTTGCTTTCGCGAGAGTCACGGCCGTGCCTCTTGAAAACGAAAAAAACACGTTTTCTATTTTTTTCGCGAGAATCACGGTTTTGCTTCCGCGAGAAGCATGGTTGTGCTTTCACGAGACTCACGGCCGTGCCTCTCGGAAAGGAAAAAAACGTGTTTTCTGTTTTTTTTCTTTCGCGAGAGTCACGGTTTTGCTTTTGCAAGAGTCACGGTTGTGCTTTCACAAGAGTCACGGCCGTGCCTCCTCGGAAACAAAAAAAAAACGCGTTTTCTCTTTTTCTTTCTTCCACGAGAGACACGATTTTGCTTTCGCGAGAGGCACGTTTGTGATTTCGTGAGAGGTACGGGCAATGCCTCTTTCGGAAAGGGAAAAAACCCGTGCTCTTGGTTCGGTTTTTTCGTCTGGTTTTTTTCGTCTGGATTTTTTCGTGAAGAAAAAGTTCGTCAAAACCTATCAACATGGGATCTAGTTTTGATCTCGACGTGAGAAATCCAACGATGAAAACGGTTCGAAATTTGGACGCACGGTTTGAGAGATAAAACGTTTTGAATAAACGAATTTAGAAAGAAAAAAAAAGAAAAACTTCCAGATTGCGACAAGTGGCGCGCTGCATATGCGCCGCTCGTCGTAACTATGAGAGATAAAACATTTTGAATAAACGAATCTACGAAAAAAAAGAAAACTTTCAGATTGCGACAAGTGGCGCGCTGCATATGCGCCGCTCGTCGCAACTATGAGAGATAAAACATTTTGAATAAAAAAATCTACGAAAAAAAAAGAAAACTTTCAGATTACGACAAATGGCGCGCTGCATATGCGTCGCTCATCGCAATTAAGGGAATTGAAGTGATCTTTACAACGAGTATCCCTTAATTAGTGATTTCGAAGAAATGAGCGCCTTAAGCGCCGTTTAGGAAATGCCGGCCTATTGTGGGTCGGGGGCAGTCCAAAAGAAAATTGTGGGGCGGGGTGCCCCTGTTGTTCTTTCGTGTTTTCTTTTTTCGTTTCCTTTTCTGTTTCTATTTGCTTGTCAAAAAAGGTTTGGGGTTTTTTAAAATTATGAATTTTAAAAAATTCTCATGGATTTTTAGAAACGTAAATGTCTAAAGAATTTCTGGATAAAAACTATTCTAAATTACAAAGACATTCGCGGATTTAAAAATGATCATGAATTTGGAAAAAAGTTTCATATTTCAGAAAATGTTCATGGGTTTTCAATTTTCGAAAAATGTTCATAATTATTCTCATACTTCCAAAAATATCCACAAATTCAAAAAAAACCTTCCCAAATTGTTCATGAATTTTAAAATTGTTCCCGCATTTCAAAACAATTGTCGGCAAAAGCCATGTGAAGATTGCTTCACTTAGGCTTTTGTCGGCAACACCAAGAAAATGTTGTATCTTGTACAAAAAAAATGAATTGTCAAAGTAATGGACTTATCACTAATGTTTTAGACGTAATTTTTGAAAGTTGTAATCCAAAATATATTTTGTAAAATCTGAATCTCACTACACTTATATGATACACTTAAATAATAATGGATTCACTATAACTAAATTGATCAGATTATCTCGTGCTGCAAAGTAAGCACATCAAACATTGAGTAGTGCCTTGATTTGATCAATAAAATTGTGACTTCTTATATCCTCCTGCGGCGCCGCGCAAATATTCAACTATTATCATATTAAAGCATCTCCAATAGCAGACCTAATTTCCGGCATGAACCTTTTTTGACACGAGGAGGCAAAAAGGGCCTCCAACAACTGCCCAACCATAATTTTTTTAAATCAGCATGCCTAAAATGTAGCACGAAGTGCTGCAAATATACAACACTTCGGTTGGTGTCGTCCAAATAAAGCGACACATAGTCGCAACCTAGAAGCCGCCTTTCACACGCAACCTCACACCCGCGTCGCCCGCTGCCTGCAGATCCACACCCCGCAACCGTCAGATCCACTCGCTCCACGCCCGCCGGCCCCTTAACCAGCGAATCTCGCCACCACCGCCCCCTTTCCACCGAAATTCGCCGCGGCACCGTCCCGTTTTCCGTCGAAGTCCGCCGCACCGCCGCTGCACCCGCATCACCTCTCCTCCTTGCTACCACCTTCCCCGAGTTGTCGCCTTCTTCCCTGGCGCCGCCACCTCCTCACCATGCTACCGAAGGACGGGAGCAAGGGGCAATTTAAGGGCACGGCCGGATGTACTGACCGGCACGTACTGACTCGGCACGTACCTGACGGATGACCTTGCCGCCCGCGCCTATGACGTGTGTGGAGGATCTACCTCCCGCGCTCAAGGCTCAATATGCCGGAGATTGAGTCTCGGGTGGATGCGGAGCTCCTTGGGACGCCAGTGACAATCGAGTCGAGTCCGATCAAGCCGGCTTCCCGCATTGTTGTTGAGTAGAGGGACAACATCAGAGAGAGCGACGAGAAGGCGATGGCGGCGTTTGCTAGGGCACATCCGGAATATGTGCAAGCCGAGATGAAGTTCTTGTGGAAGAGGGAGGCCAAGCAGTTGAAGCGCAAGAACAACGCCAAGGCAGGGTCTTGTCATCATATGGCAAGAAGAATGAGAATGCAGGAGCCTTTGATCGGGTCAACGTCGATTCCAATGGCGAGAGTGATATTCTGTAGTGTTCGTAGTTTGCTTGTCGTAGTTTACGTCGCATGTCGTATTTCATCTATGTTTGTAGTTTACATGTTTAAACTTCGGTCGAACTATGTTTGAAATATGAAATATGGTTGAAGTAGTTCAAATATTCGTTAAAAAAATATTGATCTGGGTGCTCTATTATAAGGCAATTGTTGGAGACGACGCTTGCTCATGCCTAATATTTTTTTTTTGTGCTCAAAAACTTGTACAACATGACAAAGGGTAAATTCCAGAATCTCCAAGTTAAACTTACGAAGCGCATGTTTTCTTTCGATGGCCACCCAACTCAAGCTGGTAAGGAAGTGCTAATTAAATCTGTTGCACAGGTAATTCCAAATTATTTAATGAGTGTCTTTAAGATTCCTTTTGAAGTTTGTGATGATTTGAACCATATGGTCAGAAATTATTTTTAGGGAGCGGAGAAGGGGAAGAAAAAAATACATTGGTTTGCATGGAACAAAATGACGAGGCCTAAGTGTCAAGGTGGTTTGGGCTTTAGAGATTTCAGATTGTTTAATCAAGCATTGTTAGCACAACAGGCATGACGTCTCTTAACTCGTCCAGATAGTCTTTGTGTTAGACTACTGAAGGCAAAATACTATCCTAACGGGAGATTGGAGGATACTGTTTTCACGAGTAATCCATCATCCACTTGGCAAGCTGTATGACATGGCCTTGAACTGTTAAAAAAGGTACAGTTTGGAGGATTGCAAATGGACAAAATGTTAGAATTTGGCGTGATAAATGGATTGTTCGGGATCCTATTGGTGGACTCATATTTCCTAAAGGACGATGCAGATTTAAATGGGTTTCTGAGCTTATGGACCACAATGGAAACTGGGACAACATAAAATTGCAGCAACTCTTTCTTCCAGTGGACATCTGTGAGATCCAAAAAATTCGACCCTCTCATCGCCTTGGCGAGGATTTCATAGCCTGGGCTCCAGAAAAGTCGGGTGTTTTTACTGTGAGGAGTGGTTTCCATTTGGCCTCGGATGACCTTCATAACGATCGCACGGTCACTTCAAGTAACCGTCCGGATGGACGGCGTGAGGGCTGGAGGGCCCTATGGTCTTGTCCAGCTCCCCCGAAAGTGTTGAGCTTTGCATAGAGCCTTGCAAATAATTCCCTTGCTACATGGTCTAATAAGTTGAAACGTAATCTGGAGACTAGTTCCCTATGCCCTGTTTATGGTGTTGATGAAGAGGACACGTTTCATACCTTTTGTACACGCACAAACGCAAGAGTCCTTTGGAAGGCTATGGCTGCTGAATGGTTTCTGCAGGATGTTTCTTCGATCAGCCAACGGGGTCTGATTGATTCATTCAGTATATTTGTGAGATTGACGAGCATACACGAGTTCGCTTGCTGATGCTCTTCTAGAGGATCTGGTATGTTAGAAACGAGCTCGTACATTATAAGCCCGCCCCTTGTTGATGTCTCCGTCAGATTTTTGTCAAGCTGTATATCCTCCTTAGAATCCATTGCATCTAGTCCTGGTGATGATCATGTGAAAGGAAAAACACCGCTTCAGTTATGTTTCCCTCTACAAGCTCACACATGCAATAACGCCACCACTGAACTAGTCCCTTGGACTCCTCCGGTCACTGGGCATGTAAAACTGAACACAGATGGA